CTTCCTTCATCTGCATCTAAGAAGTTATCTTCTACATCCAGTACAAAGTCTACTAGAGCCCCGTCTCCTCTTCGTTCTCCAGAGAAGAAGGATGTCCAAAAGAAGCCAGTAAATACATCCTCTCAGAATTCTTCTGATTCGAGGTCGCGGGGTAGGGGTCGAGGCGGAGTAAAAGCAGCCGCGTGTGGTCCTGGAGATCGACGACTCTCCTCACACAACAGAATTTCAACACTTATCGACGAAACTGAAATGGAAATCGAAAGTGTTCCGCCACCCGAAAGATCACAATCTCAGGGTGAGCGAAATTAGAATGCTGGCAAACTCGACAGCATTCGCCTTTCTATTATCAAATCATGACTAATATCATCCAATGGAATTGCCGAGGTCTTAAAATAAATCTTCTCGAGTTAACGCTTCTAGTTCAGTCATTTTTACCTACTGCATTTTGTCTTCAAGAAACTCATTTAAAAGAAAGTGACAATGTATCTTTAAAAGGATACATCATGTATAGCACATTTTCTAAGGTAGATGAACGTGCTGCAGGCGGATCATCCATTTTTGTGAAGGACAACTCATTCATAGCACAGTCCAACTCACCACGGATCTGCAGGCAGTTGCAATTCGTTTATCATTAGATAAAACAATTACATTATGTTCTATATATATTCCACCCAATTCAATTATAGATAAAGCTAAACTCAAAAACCTCACTGATCAATTACCCTCACCATTTATACTTATGGGCGACTTCAATGCCCACAACCCTTTGTGGGGAAGGAAGTCTCATAATATCAAAGGTAAGATCATTGAGGACTTTGTCTCTCAAGAAGGATTATGCATTTTTAATGATGGATCTAATACTTATCTTCATCCTGGAAACGGGTCTTATTCTGCTATTGATATCACTATTTGCGATCCCTCTCTTCTTCTGGATTATTCATGGCGTGTTCATGATGATCTATGTGGAAGTGATCACTTTCCAATAGTACTTGAACATCTTTTTACTTCTGCCCAACAGAGAGTACCACGTTGGAAACTTGACAAGGCGGACTGGTCCTTGTTTGAGAATCTCTGTCTAGCGGAACTTCAGTCAAAGATGTTTGAGACTGTACAAGATCCAATTTTAACTTTTAATACAGTTTTAACGTCAATTGCTGACAGAACTATTCCTAAGACCTCGGCAAATCCGAAACATCCCAGCAAACCATGGTTTGATGATGCTTGTGATCAAGCAATAGGTGACCGTAAAAAAATCTGAAAGACGGTTCAATCAACAACCAACAACGGAAAACTTGAGTAATTTCCGTGTTTTTCGCGCTAAGGCACGGCGGACTTGCAGGCAAGCACGACGAACGTCTTGGAAGAAATTTGTCTCGGAGATAACATCTCGCACTTCGACGACAAAAGTATGGAACATGATACAAAAGATAAAAGGTAAAAATTCTAAAGCCACAGTTAAACATTTAAAAAATGGCAATGATTTATTAACATCTGAAAAGGATATTGCCAACAAGCTTGGTGAAACTTTTGCGAAATCTTCTTCTTCTAACAACTACAGGGAAGATTTTAAAAAAGTTAAAAACAAAAAGAAAAAATTAAATTAAACTTTAAATAAAAAAATGGTGAAAATTATAATAAACTCTTTTCTCTTGAAGAACTTAGAACATCTCTGTCAAAAGCCCATGATACAGCTTGTGGGCCTGATAATATTCACTACCAACTGTTAAAACACTTGCCAGATTCCTCACTGGAAGCTCTTTTGCAGCTTATAAATAACATCTGGGAATCTGGTGATTTACCATCAATCTGGAAGCTTGCAACCGTCGTGCCTATTCCAAAACCAAGTAAAGATCACACGGATCCTATTAATTATCGGCCAATTGCTCTTACCAGTTGTGTCTGTAAAACACTAGAACGGATGGTCAATGATCGCCTTGTTTGGTTCCTGGAATCCAATGGGCTTTTAGCCAATATCCAGTGTGGATTCCGCCAAGGTCGCAGTACTCTTGACCATCTTGTTCGATTCGAATCATTTGTCCGTAATGGTTTTAAGAAAAATGAACATGTAGTGTCGGTCTTTTTCGATCTAGAAAAAGCCTATGATACTGCATGGAAGTATGGTATTTTAAAAGATCTCTTTGATATGGGGTTGAAAGGCAATATGCCAAATTTTATTTCGAATTTTCTATCAAACAGACAATTTAATGTTAGAGTAAATTCAACCATGTCTGATCTGTATGATCAAGAGATGGTTGTCCCTCAGGGCAGTATTTTATCTGTTACATTATTTAGTCTTAAAATCAACAGCCTTGTTGAAGTTTTAAAAAGTAATATTGAAGGATCATTGTATGTTGATGACTTTTTAATATGTTATAGAGGCAAAAATATGAATAACATAGAAAGACAATTACAGTTATGTCTTGGAAGAATTGAAAAAAGGGCCTCGGAAAATGGGTTTAAATTTTCCACTTCAAAAACGGTCGGGATGTATTTTTGTAAAAAAAGGAAATTGCATCTTGATCCAGAACTCACTCTGTACGGCAATCCAATTAAAATGGTTGATGAAACCAAATTTCTTGGGTTAATTTTCGATAAAAAGTTAACCTTTCTACCCCATATCAAAATGTTAAAATCGAAATGTTTAAAAGCATTAGATATTTTAAAAGTTGTCGGCAGCACCGACTGGGGTGCTGATCGCAACATTTTACTTAATTTATATAGATCTCTAGTTAGATCTAAACTAGATTATGGCTCTGCAAGGAAGTCCTACATACAGATTCTCGATGCTGTGCATCATCAGGGTTTGCGTCTCTGTCTTGGCGCATTTAAAACCTCACCAGTTGAGAGTCTGTATTTAGAGACTGATGAGCACTCACTCTCTAACAGACGTTTGAAGCTTGGACTTCAATATGCTGTTAAACTAAAAGCCTACTCAGATAATCCTGCCTACAGCTGTGTTTTTAATCAATTTATGAAGATATTTTTGCAAAACATGAAAATAAAATTCCTCCGTTAGGTATACGTTTAAAAACACATTTAGCTTCTTTTGATTTAAAATCTGTTGCTCAAGTTGAAACTTGCAAATGTCCTCCATGGGAACTTCCCAAACCAAAAATGATATTTGATCTCCGTGAACACAATAAAAATAAAACAAATCCTCTTTTAATTCAGCAACACTATGCTAAAATCAAAGCCAATTATTCAGATTTTTCAACTGTCTATACTGATGGATCAAAAGATGGTGACAGAGTTGCATCTGCTGCTGTTTTCAGGGACAGAGCTGCAACTCTCCGTTTGCAATCTGATGCATCGATCTTTACTGCTGAAGCAGAAGCAATAATTTTGGCTTTGAAATTTATTGCTTCTTCAGATAAATCCAAATTTATTATATGTTCTGATTCACTTTCATGCTTACAAGCTATACAAAATACTAAAATTAAAAACCCAACAATTTTCAAAATTTTATATGTAATGAGGAATTTAAAAATTCTTCTTAAAGAAATATTATTTCTATGGGTGCCGAGTCATGTTGGAATCCTTGGAAACACAGCTGTAGACCTTAAGGCAAAGAATGCCCTGGGTGACCCTTTATCTAACTGTGATATACCGTATACCGATTTTAAATCTAATATTAGAGAATATGTTTTTAATATATTGAAAAATTAATGGAGTAAAAATGATGATAATAAATTACATGAAATTAAACCTAATTTAGGTAAACCTTTCAATAATTGTATGTGCAGAAAAGATCAGTGTGTTATTTCTAGATGTCGTATTGGTCATACTAGAATAACACACGAATATCTTTTAAAAAATGAAGTAGAACCACAATGTATACCTTGTAACTTCAAGTATACTATTAAACATGTTTTAATCAATTGTATTGACTTTGCTGATATTCGTAAGAAGCATTTCAATGTCAATAATATGTATGATTTATTTAATAATGTTCCATTTACAAATATTGTTTCATTCTTAAAAGAAGTTGGAATATATTCTAAAATATAAAAATGTTATTATATTTAAAACGATTTTAAATTTTATCACGTTATCTTAATGTTCATTTTTATTTGTAAATAATCAATTTGCTTTAATCTAGAATTTTAGTTTATTGAAGGGCCTTTTGTCTGATTTTAAGAATATGCTTTAAATTGTAAAAATTATTCGAATTAGCTCTCGCCGCGATATAGCCTTGTTGTGCTAATGCGGCGTAAAGCAACCAACAATCAATCAATCCCCTGCCTATTCCTGCTATTTTGGTTTCCTCTGCCTATTCCTGTTACTTTGGTTTCCTTTGACTTTTTCATTTGCTCTGACTTTTACTGTCCCTTTGGTTTCCTCTGACTTTAACAGTCACTTTGGTTTTCTCCTGTTTTTTTATACTGTATAATAACTATAAATACTGTTTAAGCTGATCGAAAGGAGTTATAGAATAACATCATATGATTCCTGTTTTGACGAACATGCTAGGCATTTATATAAGGGAAATCAAAACGTATATAAACGTTACACTACTGAAATAAGCCAAAAACAAAAACCCTGATTATGAATCTGTGAAGAAAAAGCTTAATGAGTAAGTTTGCTTACTGTGTGATAAGCAACGTGTCCATTCATATCCACCTGAACAGACGTTTCAAGTTCCTTGGTAGGCAGATAACTGTCTCCATCCTAACATTATATAAAGATAAAGTTATTACATAAACAACTTCTATTACAATAACTGTTATTACATCTACAACTACTATTACAACATCTGTTACTACATTAACAACTATTACTATTACTACTTACTACTACCACTACTTCTACTAAAACTGGTTGTACTTATATAAATTGATTGATTGATTGATTGGTTTTTCAGCACTATTGTGTTATTTATTGACGTTCAGGAAGCTGGAATGCTCGGAGAGAACCATCGACTGTTTATACTTACACTTTACAACAATAAAAAATTTTACAACAACTTCTACAACAACAAACAACTTTTACAACAACAACTTCTACAACAAACAACTTTTACAACAACTGTTTCTACAACTACTTCTATCACAATGACAACTGTTTCTACAACTACTTCTATCACAATAATAACTGTTTCTACAACTACATATATCACAATTACAACTGTTTCTACAACTACTTCTATCACAACGACAACTGTTTCTACAACTACTTCTATCACAATAACAACTGTTTCTACAACTACTTCTATCACAACAACAACTATTTCTACAACTACTTCTATCACAACAACAACTATTTCTACAACTACTTCTATCACAATAACAACTGTTTCTACAACTACTTCTATCACAACAACAACTGTTTCTACAACTACTTCTATCACAATAACAACTATTTCTACAACTACTTCTATCACAATATCAACTGTTTCTACAACTACTTCTATTCCGAAGCGCTTTTCTGGACTTACCTTCATCAGGAACGCTCAAAGCCGAATATTTGAAAGCCGAGGATGTATAAGAACCGAAACGGTTGAAGAGCTATATGACTAAAAAATATATAAACATTAGCGAAATCCATCGAAGGTCAACTTTAAGGTTACAGACAATAATTGACAGGCCAGGGTATCTCGTCTGTAACTGACACCTTTACAGCCTTTTAAATGCGTATATTCCCGAATACATGTTTGGTCTTCTATTTTCAATTGCGAAAATGACATGCGCGGTCATCTATTTGATTTTCTGAAAGAAAACTAACACGTTTAATATATTACATGCAAGTGTTAAGTGAGTATTGTTTCTAGTTTAATTGTATATACAGTGTACATCTTTCCTCGTGTTTCTTGCAAATAATTATGAAAAGTTTTGCTGAAAAATTTCCTCAATAATTGTTAAAGTTTAATTTCAAAACGGATAAATAAATAAAGAACTACAGTCGTTCGTTAATGTTAGACATTTCTAATTAGCCAATTGTATAGTAACACTTAACGCCACAATAGGTATTGCCTTTAAATGGAATCTAATTAAGTTTGTTTCCGCACTGATGAAAAATATAATTGATAATTAAAGTTGAAACGTCATATTTCAATAGTTTTTTCAAGTTTAAATACATAAACAAACATTACAAACAAAATACAGTAATCATGTTTAAAACATGTTAAATATTTGAATGCGCCATGCATATAAGAATTATGCGACTATATAAATGCCTATTTATATTCATCTATAATCATTAAAAAAAAGATAACAAAGAGGAATAAATGGTGTTTCTCCGGTTTTATGTTTTTGAAAGGTAATTTGAATTCTTTTTGTTACTTTAAATTTTACAGTTTTGTTATACAGCGCAATACAGTACAATAAACTTTAACTAAATATTACAACACACACACATAAGTAAACTCTTCAGTGTATGTTCACTGGTGTTAATATGTTTTTTGATTGAGTTAAGCCATTTCAATTGATATTTTATAGTGTGTCTTTCTATGTTGTGATGTTACACTATTGTTTCAGATAACGGTAAAGGTTTGGTACCATTAACACGTTTAAACCCGCTGCAATTGTTTGCACCTGTCTTAAGTCAGGAATCTGATGTTCAGTAGTTGTCGTTTGTTGATGTGGTTCATAAGTGTTTCTCGTTTCTCGTTTTTTAGATTTCCCGTTTGAATGGTGTTACACTAGTAACTTTTTGTGCCCTTTATAGCTTGCTGTTCGATGTGAGCCAAGGCTCCGTGTTGAAGACCGTATCATTGGCACTCATACCACATCTTCTTATATCTATCTTATGAGAATTAAAAATCGACAAACATATATAAAACACCATCCAAACACGACATTCATGCATTTAAGACACACGATTTATTTTAACAATTTTTTAAACATTGTACAAGTTACTAAAGCAGTATTATGATAATTTATTAATTTGTTATCAGAGCTTTAAAACGGAAAGTCCCTTACCAAATGGAAAAAACAAAAGCCCAAACACATCAAACGAATGGAAATCAGCTGTCCTATTCCTCACTTGGTACAGGCATTTCAGGTAGAAAATGGTGGGTTAAACCTGGTTTTATAGCTAGATGAACCTCTCATTTGTATGACAGTCGCATAAAATTCAATTAAGATATTACTTATGTTTGTGTGTTGTAATGATTATTAAAATGTATTGTATTGTATATCACTTTATAACAAACACGTCAAATTTAAATACAAAAAAGAAAAAAATCAATTAAGCTTTCAAAAAGCAGAAACAATATTTTACTCCATCATTTTGCTATTAACTATGTTTATAAAACATCTTTCATACATAATAATATTGACATCAAGCGTACGATCAAAGTAAATACCGACATAGGAGACCAACGCCAATTAAGTATTCAAACCTCAGTGCGTTGACCTTATACCAATTGATAAAAGAATTACTGGCGTGACAATCGATTAGACGTATACAAATAATTTTTAAAAAACCTTGACCGCAGATAATTGATAGCTATTGATGACCGCTCTTATGACAACGATTACAGACACTTTACCATAATTCCAAAAGTAGTTATTTTTGATATAAAGCCTGTAAACGTCCAGCAGGAAGTATTTCAAGATTTGAATGAAAAGCGATGAATGTAAACTAATCGACGCCAACCCTATACTTAACTATCCGAGCAGTGTGCGCGGCACACTGTGTGAATGCTTAGGGATATGTTTTCTCTAGTATCATGTAATTCACTCAGTTCTGTCATATTATAAATCAAGAACAAAACAAAATTTATGCTACCTGCACTTGACACGAAACCCACAGAATGTACATAAAATGATAGTATGTTCTCAAATAATTAAGGATAATGTGCCGCTAAAATACTCTGCCTGAGCTAGCCACATATCTTTGCATAGAAATGCGTCACCATAGGGGTATTTGCATACACATGTGTGTACGACTACCAGTCTACTTGTCTCAGAGTACTTAAGCAAGCCGTTCCCGAGCGGTATAGCCTTACTTGATTTTCCTCGTTTAACCGCATGAGAGTAAATCTTTGTGGGCATAGACCGACGTGAAATAGAGCTGTTGAGCAATAAAGAGACTATTCCTCGTTAAGGTACGTAGGCACCCTAACTACTCAGAAAATTTTTGGAAGATCTTATATTTGGCCAAAATAAAATATCAGCCCAAAACGAAATGTGAAACGTTATGTTGCCTGCCCAAGTTGTATATTGAGTAACCCCAAAATTTGAAAATGTTGTGCCTGATGAAGCCTTGTATCTTGTTAAAGATTAAAATGATTAGAATTTTGCATTGCTACTGCTACTAACCTAATTCAGCTGACTGAAATAAGCATGACAAAGATTGAAAATAAACGAAAAGTACACGAGACGGATAAGAAAACATAGCCGGCTCTACCACAGACATCATAAATCTAGTCATAAAATGAGTATCGTCCACATAAATAAATGGCTTTGACAGAAGCCGAGTCGGACAGAAAATAAAACACTAATATTAACATCATTTAAAAATTTCTATTTTTTTTATGATCATAAATTAAAATAAATATGTATTTACGTAGTCTCAAAAAGATTGTTCATCATTGCGGATGCAAATTATGGTGTTCCCATTCAAAATCAATACTAATTGTTGCGGTTAAAGTTACTATAGAATTGACGTACGAGTGTAGTACTTTAATACTTTGTCCGTATCATTAATTAGTCAAAAGGATTATTGATGAAATATTCCAATAACGGTTGTCATAATTATTTGCAAACAAAACGAAGAAGGATGTTAACTTTGTTTACACTTAAATTAGTTGCAATTTCTTACGTGACACTATCATTTAATATGCAATTCGTGTTAGTTTTATTTCAGAAAAACAAACAGATGGACGCACATGTGATTTTCGCAATTGAAAATAGAGGACCAAACATGTGTATTCGGGAATGTATGCATTATAAAGGTTGTAGTGGTGTCAATTACAGACGAGATACACTGACTTGCCAACTATTGTCTTTATCCTTACCGGGAGACCAACTAAAATATAGTGAAGGGTTTTCATTCGCTGATGTAAACAATTATACTTTGGTAAGATTTTATTCTGATTTTGTTAGTTTTGTTATTATTATTAAGCAGTTGTAGTAATAGTAGTAGAAGAAGAACATCTAGTAGTAGTTGATGGATGTTGTTGTCGTATTGTAGTAGTAAAGGAAAATCAATACAACAGTAATAGGAAGACTACAGTGCCTGGCGCCTACTTTGTTCCAATCTGCTGTTCATTGTGATTAGCTAAGACGAACATTTATATGACTGATTGATTGATGTTTGATTTACGCCGCATCAGCACCAAGGACTATATCGCGGCGAAACATTGATGTGAAACCATGTATACTTATATTTCATTCTTTATTCCCTAACGGTTGACTGGGGTATAAAAAAATGATTATCCCTTGACGTCTCCCATTCCTACAGTAACACCCTCGTCCAATTAGCTATGCGGGATGTATTAGTTCGCAGTCACACGTACGGTCTTTATGGGACGCTAAATCCTATGTGTTTTATAGAGAGAGATAGAGATTGTGTGGCACGCTCTATGCACGTCAAAGAACCATTGCAACAACTCTCTGAGGGTCTATAAGTGGCTCGTGCAAGTCCAAATGTCTGCTCATATACAACATATCTTTATTTTCTAGTGGCTGTCGAAATTTTACAGCCCCTCATCCCGGTCGTCAGACTTTTCAGAAACTACCTATTGTGTCAATTTTTAATATGTTCTCGTCGTGAATTTGCACGAATCAATTGCCACTGGAAATTAAGCAAGCAACAATTATTTTTTTCAGACGGGACAAAGTATGGTCCATGTAAAATGCAATTCATTTAAATATCAATATACACACATTCTTACATTGATATACATAGATAACAGACAAAAGTAACTTTGCAACGCGATAGCTCATTATCAAGTATCATTGAAAATATATTTCACGACACTGCTTACTTGTTACGAGATGTTTTTGTCCATATTGGAAAAGAAAATCTATGTGAAAAGGGTCCATGAGAATTTCATGAAATACTGAACAAACAATTGTATCAAAGAGAGAGGATTTGTACTGTTGGTCTTCATCTTGACAATTACATTAATATTTTCAAAGATTCGATGAAATAATTTCTGTAAGAGCATAACGAACAGGTCCAAGTCTCTAACAAATGCCTTTTAAAAAATTCTTGGGTAATCGCTACATAGTTATATAATTCGAAGTACATATGCCGGAGAAATAATTCAACTTAACCAAATTTCCTTTTTAAATCATTATGTATATATCTACAATGTATATACTAATGTACAATCTTTCGTAATAGGTTGTCATTATTTTGCACCGGACGTTAAGCATAGAACAAAACAAATCTTTTGTTCCAAAGTACACGTTAACTGTCCTGATTTTCTTTATTTAATTATAATTTCAGGATGATGATAGTTGTCTGCCTACCAATCCTTGTAAGGAGCGTGAAAAGTGTGTTCCATTGGATATGAATAGATACGTTTGCCTATCATATCGTAAGTAAAATTCAACACCATCTGACTTTCTTAGTAAGAGTTATTTCCTCTCTACTTAGCCGGGATATTGCTCTATATTTGGTCTTTCCTGGTTATTTCACGTGTGCAACGTTTATTTAATATTTGATTTTCCAAAAATTTTAAAATGCCTTCGTCAAAACATGTGTCATATAATATATTTTTTAATATTTCCTTCAATCAGCTTTAAAACTATATATTGTTATTTAACAGTATGAATTAATAATATGAAACAAAAGTGACAGTTAAAGTCAGAGGAAACCACAGGGACAGTAAAATTCAGAGAAAACAAAAGGGGTAGTAAAAGTTTGAAGAAACCAAAGGGACTGAAAAAATTAAAGAAACCAAAGCATGCAAAGGGGATGTCAAGTCAGAGGATAACACAGGGATAGTAAAGTCAAAGGAAACCAAA